ATTTATCAAAAATGAAAATCTATTTGATAATCATTAGAGAAACAGATTCTTACATAGTTACTCGAGGATTATCGGATTTATCCAATCTCGATAGTTAAATTATAGAATTTTAACTATCTCGATTGGATGAATCCGATAATCCAATGGTACCAATGTTAGAATTTATATATACAATTACAGACAGTCTATCTTCTCGGTCTTAAAGATAATATCATGGGAATTGGTAATATATCAAGATAATCTTTCAATCAGTTTAATTGAGGTCTGGAGCTGGAATGTCAGTAACTGCTAGTAGTCCTTTGTTAATTTATGCATCGTTGTCATTTTGCTTAGTTTCTTTTGTTACCTATTCTGACTTCGGACTCGGACTTCTTTTAAACTGAGTTTTACCGTGCGTATTGCTGTGTGTTTGTTTATTCTATATTGGCTAGAGGTATAGGGGGAGGGTTGAGATCTCACAAATTGTTTTGGCCTGTCCCAAGTCAGGAGCCTCTGGCCTTTGTTAGTCTTGTATGTTTTTTAATTTTAGTTCATCTATATGTTTTGCAGTTTAGTGTGACGTCCATTTTCATTGAACTAGTACACATTTTTGTTTAGGAGCCAGCTGAAGCCCGCCTTCAGGTGCGGGATTTTCTCGCTGTTTTGAAGACCCATTGGTGGCCTTTGGCTGTTTTCTGCTCTTTGATCGGGTTGTTGTCTCTTTGACACATTCCCCATTTTGATCTCAATTTTATGTATATATATATATATCTTTTATTGCGACAATTTTACGGATATATTTTCTCAATTGGATAATCGAGCAAACGGCTATAACACATACAAAATCGGTATCTCCATATTTTTCAAGACGAAAATTATATATCGTCGGTGGGCTTCCAAAATGTCGTACATGACTTTGTTTGCTAACACTACTTTTTCATACAAACGGACATGGCAGGAGGAAATCTCTAATATTCTAAAATATACACTAAGAACAATTAAAACATTTGAAAAGAGGGACGCAAGATACCAGAGGGACAGTCAAACTTATAGATCGAAAACAAACTGACAACGCCAAGGCAAAAATAAAAAGACAAACAGACAAACAATAGTACAGATAACAAAACATCGAAAACCAAAGACTAAGCAACACGAACCCCACCAAAAACTGGGGGTGATGTCAGGTGCTCCGGAAGGGTAAGCAGATCCTGCTCCACATGTGGCACCGTCGTGAAAAAGACATGTGACAAAATTGCTAATCTCAGTTGTTTGTCAAGTTTGCTTCCAAAATGTTGTATGTAAACTTGAAAATGGTTGTATAATGGCTTTGGGAGTCAAGACCTTGTACATTTATTTATTTCGGGGGAAAATAAGGTTGGTTTTTGTGTTATCCAGAAATGTCCAAGCCATTTACAACACATGGTAAAGTTCACATACGACATTTTGGAAGCAAGCATTTCAACCAAATTTTCAAAGCCTGTTTGTTAGATTTTGGAAGCCCATCGACGATATAATTATGAGTATTCATGTGTGTTCGTTTGTATGTATATGTGTGTTTGTTTGTTTATGTGTGATAGGTAGAAAGAGGGAGGAGAGAGAGAACTTATTTTTCTGAAGACTCAAATTAAGGTTATTATTTTGGGGAATTAAACCGATGTTTTAAGAGTTTATTGTAAGAGATATCTTTTGAAAGAGTCTATGGTTTAACCACGGATACAGGTGTACGTAAATGAAATAACAACCCAATAAAACAGATAACTTAGTCCGGTCTTCAATAATAGTAATGTGTTTATATCATTTGTCAAATTATAAATTGTCCCAGTTAAGAAAAGTTGCAATGATTACTGAAGTTGAAGGACCAACACTAAGGTATCAAAAGGACAACCTCTTACTAGGTTCCTGATTTTTTACATTTAGAGGGAATGAACTAGTTTCTGTGTGCTCAAATATTTTTACCAATACTATTACAATAGGTTTATAGAGGAACTTACAATAAAAATCAACGAACTCTACAATATTGGTATCAAGATGGGTTAAGAATTTGCTCTTTTATACCTTAGATTTCGAAAGGGAAATTATACTAAAAATTACTTACATTTTCTAGAAAAGATACTGGAAAAGCAATATCGCTCACTGTAAATATGGGATGAGGTTATAGAGATAAGAAATATATGTAGAAACTTTTGTTTTAATTAGAGTTTGATACACCAAACAGTCAAACAGAAGGATTTGGTCCTCATCTACTGACCAGTCTTGAAGCCATCAAGATCAGTGAATCTGCCCAGGTCATGATAGAAACTGCAAAGAATGCAATGAAAAAGTAAGTTTTGCATAATGATTAACGTTAAAAAAATTGCATGAGTATACAAACAGAACCTTTCATTTACAGTAGGTGCTCATTCATGCAAATTCTGGTCTTTTATTGGCTGAAAGACGAATCATTTGATTCCGTCATAAGCTTTCATTTTGTATGAATTCAACTCATGCTGTATGAAAGCATCCTAAGGTTATAGAATTATTAGCTCCGCCTTCCTAAATAATCAACACTATTTTTTTCATTGATCGTCTACTCCCTGCAAACGATAATGCTTTTACAAAATCGCAAACGGTATTCATCTACATAAAAGAAGATGACAATATATCTTAAAATATGGATAATTGATATAAATGTATAAGAATAAATTACTATTCTATGATATACACTTATAATAATGATTGAAATTTGATATATAATTTACAAGCTATCTACTTTAAAATCGACATCTTCATCTGTCATTTTCAGCTATATGACGTATTATAATTTATTTCACATGGAATGCTATTGCTTTCATTACACTACATAATTTCTGCCGAAGTTTTGTGTAAACTTTTACTTTCAAATTCAAAATGAGAAGAACACAGCTTTTGATTCCGAGCTTCATACAAAATGTGATGGTTATTAACTTGCTTTCATTTGAAATTCGCATAATTTAAAAAAAAACGGCATTCATTTCTATAGTAAAGAATATAATCGATCACAGGTAGTTTAGCCATCCAACTGTTTTGATTTATAAACGTCACTGCTCAGTAGATGAAACGCGTAGACGTAGATGTTAAATTCTTTCGAAACACCAAGGTTTTTCTACTCACATGCGAAGATGGCCGAAGCCTGAATGTACAAAATTTTGTGGAATTTTGGTTTTAATGCCTTTTCAACTTCGTTGTTGGTTTGGCATAACAATTGTTTTGATTAGAGCGCTACCAATGAGTCTTATGAAGACGAAACACGCGTTTGGCGTACTAATTAAAAAGACTGGTATCTTTGACGATTTTTTATTCTAAAATGCGTCTGTACCTTGAGAACACTGAAACTCGTACTGTTAATTTCTCTGTATTAATATACAGTACTGCAAAATGTATATAATCCGCTGCAATTTTTTGCACCTGTCCTAAGTCAGGAATCTGTTCAGTCGTTGTCGTTTGTTGATGTGGTTCATAAGTGTTTCTCGTTTCTCGTTTTTTATATAGATTAGACCGTTGGTTTTCCTGTTTGAATGGTTTTACACTAGTAATATTTTGGGCCCTTTATAGCTTGCTGTTCGGTGTGAGCCAAGGCTCCGTGTTGAAGACCGTACTTTGACCTCGAAAATGGTTTACTTTTATAAATTTTGACTTGGATGGAGAGTTGTCTCATTGGCACTCATACCACATCTTCTTATATCTACATAATGTGCAAGCAATTTTTTAAATACATTTCTGTCGGTTGCTGAGCATTCGCAAAACTGCACTACACAAGAAGATTGAGTCTTTAATAGATGGTTTAAAATTAATCTTTCAAATTGAAATGTTTTAAATTCATGAGTAGGTTACTTTTTACAAAATCTTTTAACACATGAATAGAGTTTAGCTTCTAACAACAACTACCCATGCAAAGTTTATTTGGACGTAACATTTATTTTTTCGAATTAAATTTTAGGTTAAACATAGAGAAAAGCCAGCGTTTAAAGGTCCTGGAGAGAGTCTCGGGCAGCATTCTGAACACAATACAGGCGCGAACAAGATGTCGGTTTACAGCAGGACCGTGTAACCAAGCTTCTCAATATAGAACACCAGATGGTTCATGTAATAACGTGGCTAACCCATTATGGGGAAAGTCTCATACACCTTTTGAAAGGTTTATACCTGGTTTGTATGAGGATGGTTAGTATATAATGTGTTGTTATTGGTAACCTGTTTAATGATCAATAGAAAAAAAGAATATTAGCATGCAAATCAATCTTAATAAAGTCGTATCAAGTGCACGAATAACATATCCCTTTTTAAAAGTTTAAAACCAACAAACTCTCTCGATCATTTTAATGTTTATTTTGATTCTAACATTATGATGATATACAATTTAGCTTACATTTATATAATGACTTTTTAATTACAAGAAAACAAGAATTAATTTATCACCTTGACTTCTACTGCCCACAGTAGAACTCAAACCGAAGGTATATCGTTTGACTGTACAGGATGTATAAACACGGTTAAATTTACGCTCTCTGCACGCGTTAATTATGCTATTGCAATAACTCTTGGATAGACCCGGTTGATAAGACAAGTTTCCGATCCAATATTCTCTCTCTTTTTCTTTAGCTGGCAGTCCAAATGTCACAGGCTCTAAAAAAATCCCGACCAACCCACTTTACAATACCTACTCGTTTGATGAATTGTTTAATCTAATCTCTACCTGGAAATACATGGAATATTTGCCACTTCATGTTAATCAATCTGCACTAATCAATCTATTCATCTTTTGCACTTTGTCGAAATTTTGAACTTTATGACACACAACAGTAATGTCTTATGAAAAATAAAATTTCATTAATCAATTTTTACGGTACATGTTCATCCTCAATTTATGTATTCAATATGATCAAGTACAGGTTGTTACATACCATGTAATGTAAAATTTTCTAGGTTTGGATGATCCAAGAGCCAATGATTTTTTTGGTGACCTACTCCCTCTAGCCAGAGACATCAGTGTTAAAGTTCACACCGTCAGTGACTCAACAACTCAGATGAACGATTTGAGCCATTTTAGTATGGAGTTTGGCCAGTTTATCAGTCACGATATACAGATGAATGCTTTGTCTAAAGGTAAATAACTTAAGTATTTAAAACACGACTCTATCTAGTCTACTTTCTTGATCGTGTGACCACCATTTGTCTTAATTCTAATTTACATGATTGCACAACTTACTTTATCTTTATTTAAGCAAACGTTTCACCGCATCTCCTTTTACTAATTCTTATATACGTCTTTTAAAAAGGACATGTTGAAAACAAAGACGCGATAGATAATCTTTATTTCTCAAAGGACAAGTAGTCGATAAAGCATCATTAGAATCTTTCTACACAAAAGACAAATTGCGATAGATGCTATTTCTTTATTTAAAAAAACCCACTTAGTTTACAATGCCGCGAGAGCTAATGTTTCTTTCTCAAAAGACCCATAGTTGACGAAATATTTCTTTTACTAAGGACACGTAGTCGATAAAGCCTTGATAGACGGTGTTTCTTTCACAGAAGAAACGCAGTCGATAAAGCTGCGATAGATAATGTTTCTTTCAAAAGAGACACACAGTAGATAAAGCCACTATAGGTTGCACTTTGTAAATAAAACTATTCACAAACCACGCCTCTTTTGGGGAGATATTTGATATTCATAGATATTTTGTTTTGTTTACCTACTGGTTTTTACGGACGCCATCACGAGTTGGTTGACCGTTATGGATTATCTGTTTTACAGAATTGTCGACGGATATATGTTACAATTGTCGTAACCACATTCCCGCCCTAATTTCCCCCGAATGTGACCTACCGAATTATACTCATCACCGAGCTTGTACTTACATGAGCAACACGACAGGTGCCACATGTGGAGCAAGTACAGTAAGGACATAAAGTTGATTTTTATAAACAAAAGTCTCATGAAATACGAGAAAATAACCAATTTAATTGTTCCCTAAGAGTTTGGGTCATAGAATTGCATCCTTGAAAATACAATTGGTCCATGTAAAAAGTAAAATAACGGAAATACCGAACTCCAAGGAAAATTCAAAAGCGAAGGTCAATATGTTTATAAATATAAAGCATGGTTGCGGAGAGACAGAAAAGACGTGAATCATATATATATATATGTTACAGTAAAATTGTAAATTTGTGATTTTGTAAAATCCTTGAAATAATCAGGGATTTTGTAAAATCCTCAGTTTTAGTGATTTTGTAAAATCCCTGAAATACTTACGAATTTTATATAAAGTCACTATATGCTATGGATGTTGAAAAATCCTTTATTATTTTTCTTAATATAGATAGACTAAATCAAATAAATATGTACAGATATAAAAACTACAATTTACTTATTTTTACATATTAGTTTGGGTGACATCTGTTGTTACATAATTGTTCTGCCTTTCGGCATTGAAGAACTTCATACCGTGATACTGATAATAATAGTAAACAAAATTTACTTTTCTTTTGATTTTGATCTAAAGAGTTGAGAAAATAAAGAAAACTATCCATCCCTGTGTGATAGCATGGATTTTATAACACAGTATCTAGAATATGACCAAAGCAAGTAAATCATGCACAAAAGGTCAAGGCGACCTACTTTTTCCTGGTTGGTAGGTTACCTATCAGTTGAAATACAGGTCCAATACGAAGTATTTTTGTACATTTTATCTGCTGTCTTTTATTTGTGTGGATAGAAATCACCTTTCATTTGTAGCATATTAATAAAACAACCCATTAATATATTCTCATCCTGATATGCATTGCCATCGGAAGACATCACCTTATCAATTCAAATTCCTACTCCTTACAGGTGTTTTCTCCCCTTACAAAGGTAATTAATTCAATGAACTGCGTTTATATTTTATTTTAAAAATAGGATATTTCTTTTATAATTTAAAGCACTCAATAGTAACTCACTTTGGACAGTGTGGGTACTATGAGTTAGATGAGTCTTTTTTGTGGGTCTTTGAAAATATGGTATCTAATTTCTTAATATTTTTCCTGTTTCCATATATTGCATTTTAACTTTCCCATTTCCTCATATTTTGCCAGTTTCCATATATTGCATTTGAATTTACAGTAAGTTATTTGAAAACTGCTGACCTTGTTTTATTTAAATGGGATAAATTAACTCAAACTTGTTCAGTGTTTCTGCTTTAGGCTTATGTCTTTTTTTCAATGAACTATTTAAACAAAAATATTGATTATTTTACAAATTCACTGAATTAAATTAGTTTTTAAAAATAAATCCTAATTATTTCAGGGATTTTATAAAATCTTTAATCAGTTCAGTGATTTTGCAAAACCCCTGAAATTACAATTCACTGTAACATATTAGAATTAGAGAATATACAAACATATGCAATTTATCATTCTTTCTTCTCTATTTCAGGGCAGTATATGTCTAATCTGAACTGCTGTCGATTTCCCAACAGGTACGCATATAAAAGGAGTATTCATAGACATCAATTCATGATACAACATGTTTATTCTACTTTATTTCAATTTTATTTTATATATTCAACGAACATCCCAAAGTAAGAAGAAATAGATGATGTTCCTTTCATTTTATGTATTTGACTATCCTATCATGATCAAAATCATGATCATACTAAACGTGTTATAGCAAAATACTTTGGCATTGAAATCATTTATTGAATTTTTCTTTGAATCTTAAAACCGGGGGTAGAACATGATGAAGATTTTACTAGAAACATATGACATCAATTTAATGAAATTGATTTATGTTTTCATTAGTTACTGTAAAGTGATTTTATTCGTGCCGTTGTCATAAGCAGTGCTCGTCTATTCTATTATAGCAAGTTTAATTAACATTTTATAACGTTAATTTCCATGTGTATTAAACATTCCAAACTTATGTCTCAGAGCATTCTTTACAAAAAATTATTCCTGTAATTTGTTTTGTTTTCAAGCATTACATTTAGTAGGGATGTTAACTCAGTGAAGAATTACTCGATGATTTTACCGAATGATACTCGAGTCCTCGTCCGGTAAGATAACCATAAAAAGGAAACACACATTGTGCATCGATAGGCCCGGAACGACTCAATTAATTAGTACTGATGCACGTGGATGATGCGCTGTATCTTGATATGGTCGTTGACACTTTCGATCGCAGACATCCAACAAATTGAATTGGAATCAATGTTGCAAATCATGTGTTACCATTTGCTTTTTAACTACCCTCTTGACCTTAATATAAATAACGTTATTTCAAACGGTTTGAAAGCTTGTATTGGCGACTTCCCCCAACCTAATTGAAAAATAACTATTTCAGCCCCTGACAATTACATATTTGCACATTTACCTTAGAGTTTGGTATTTTTGAGCTTTGTCTAATGCACGCGAAACCCTCTACATTATTATCTAGGATTAGATATTAGTCCTTGGAAATAAATACCACAATTAATAGTTAATTTACTACATGTACTAAATAGGTAAACAATAATACAATCAATGATTTAATAAACACATTGAATATAAATGTCAAAACAGTAACATTTTGTAATCGTAAAGAAACATATTTAAAAAGACGTGTTGGTTAGAGGTATCTGGTCTTTCATTAAGGGTCACTACATGATGTGACAGATAAGATCGTATTAAGAAATATTTTCTGAATTGTCATCCATTTCACAGGATACGCAGTTTAGCAACTTTGTAACTAACAGTCCTGCAAACGAAAATCTTCACTCTGACATTACCGATGTTTCGTAATTGGCTGACCTATTTAGACGAAGGTTTCGGACAAGGAAAGTTTCTCTCGTGTGTAGCCCATCACTTTAAAGGATATATCTCGTGACTTTGATCTATATTTGATAAATACATTTCCGAGGCATTGTAAACGACGATTTAGCCTAAACAAAAAAACGTATTTGAACTATGATTTATAAGCGATTTCTATTTAATTATCCGATTGGCGTTCACAAGAAAATTAATTATCTGACAAAAAAAAGAGACAATGTTCTAGCATAAAACCGAATAATCGAGTATCAATTTGATATTCGATACTCAGTACTTCCAAGCGATACTCGAGTATTCGAGTACTCGTTGACATCCCTTAAATTAAGTATCGATCAATTCAAATCTTCTTCTTTAAGAAAGACTTGTCTTTTTTTAGTTTTAATGCATGGTTGATTGTCTCCCTGTCTCCTAAAACTATAAAATTAGTGATTTATTTGGCTTCCAAAAAACTCATCCTTTTTTTTTATTATATAGTTGGAAGCATGGAAATATGTTGTGTATATCTTACTACATCTCGCCTGTTACTTTATTTTACCAGGCGCAACTGTTTTCCAATTCCACTACCATCAAATGATCCATTTTACAACACCTTTAACAGAACTTGTATGAACTTTGTAAGAGCACTCGAAACAACTAAGTTAGACTGCACACTTGGTAAGTATGAAGGAGATATCACTTAGTCTGATTGTTCGGACTTTGTGAGAGCCTTATTGTGTGTGTCTAATGATCACTGAAAGGTTGTGAGAGCCTTATTGTGTGTCTAACGATCACTGAAAGGTTGTAAGAGCCTTATTGTGTGTCTAACGATCACTGAAAGGTTGTAAGAGCCTTATTGTGTGTCTAACGATCACTGAACGGTTGTGAGAGCCTTATTGTGTGTCTAACGATCACTGAAAGGTTGTGAGAGCCTTATTGTCTGTCTAACGATCACTGAAAGGTTGTGAGAGCCTTATTGTCTGTCTAACGATCACTGAAAGGTTGTGAGAGCCTTATTGTGTGTCTAACGATCACTGAAAGGTTGTGAGAGCCTTATTGTCTGTCTAACGATCACTGAAAGGTTGTGAGAGCCTTATTGTGTGTCTAACGATCACTGAAAGGTTGTGAGAGCTTTATTGTGTGTCTAACGATCACTGAAAGGTTGTGAGAGCCTTATTGTTTGTCTAACGACCACTGAAAGATTGTGATTACACACAACATTTGTACAAACAACCAGTAGGAGTAAAAAGGAAGAATATATATCAAAGAGGCAATAAAAAAATATGTCCAATATAGTCAGACAACACCATGGCCAAAAAGAAAACAGACGAAAAAACAAACAACAGTTACAAAGTCCAACACAGAAAACCAAAGATTCAGCAACTCAAACCCCACAAAAACCGGGGATGAACAAAAGTGCGTGAGAAGGGTATTTAGTTTCAGCTCACCTATTAGCGACTGTTGTGTTTTTTCATTGCACTGAATATTCGTTGATACATCATATTCTGTAATAACATTAACGGTCCCAATTCAACGGCACCAGATGCGCATTTCGACAATTAACGTTTCGTGATGCTTGAAGTCTAAATAGTTGAAAATCCAAACCTGATACAAACGCCGAAGAACAGATAAAACAAAAAAAGGACAAAAAGTAAAGCCGCAGTAATGTCACAATTGTTGAAATAAGGAAGGGATTGTGGTTACTATAAGTGATTGAATTCGTGGTCATCTCTAGCACAGACATTTCATAACGGTCAACCAAATCACTGATGGCGTCCGTAAAACGATCAAGGGATGACTTCAAGTAATACCGGTTTCCTCCCCAAATAAAAACTTACCGCCAATATAGGCCATAGTGTTGAAATTGGCGTAAAACACCAACAATCAACCAACCAAACATAATGCAGACCCCGCAATGTAACTTTGTTGGTAAGAAAACTTATGTAATGTTGGTATTCAGTAGAGTGAAGGAAGATCCAGTTCTTTATCTCACGGAACATAAAACCGATCTGTGATTGTTAATGATTTTCTTTTAAGTATGTACCTTGGTAGCTTATGTTGAGTCCCAAAGAATTGTCGACACCTAAAATCCGCAACAAACAAAAATCAAACCTCTCAAAGCAGTCGGCTCTCTAACTAATAACTTTGGCCCTAAACATCTGAAAGTTTTCTGAAAAATCAACAGTGGTGTCACCCTTCGCCCACACATATTTTTGCTGATATATTCTTTAAATACCATATTCTTTACTTTTCAATTAAAATTTCAATGAGCGAGGGTGGCACCACATATAAAAAAAATGAAACACGGTAAAAAAAATTGACAATTTTTTAGAAAAATGGACGAGAATGAAATTCTTCCTTATTGATGCTAACATATTTATAAATAGGAAGCAGATATACAATTTTTCTTGTACTTTCAAACATGATATATTTAGCAATACACATCAATTAGAATTACTTTAATAATTGAAGTTTAAAGAAAGAAAAAAACATCTTTACAGGGCCGTTTATGGGGTTTCTGGCTCTACTCCTTTAAAATGTATTAGTTCAAACATCTTTTTCTTTGTTTACGAAATACTTTTTACATACTCGTACAGAATTTCGACATTTTATTTGGCGATTTTTTCCAATTTGAGTCACTTACTATCCATATAATCAAATACAATCGTACATGTACGTTCATATTAGTGCACTATGTGCTTTTTCTATTGAAATATCAAATAAACTATGTGGTCATAGGAAATTTTATTGAATAATGAATTTGCATTGTAATCTGAAACTGACATATTTGAACATGTTTTTGCAAGCACATTGAGTTAAAGAATAGAATAAATTTTAACGATATACACTACATATATGAATAAAAGGTGATGGTATACACAATGGAGACAGCAACGGAAAGACATAATAATGCAAGAAAAAACATATGAATTCAAGATAAGTCTTCAATAACAGACAAGGGGCTTTACCTTAAATGTCTTAAATGATGTTATGCATTGTAAAATGGAGACGGAAGGTAACACGGGAGATTTAAAACTCATTAGCCGAGGGAAACTGACAACTCAGAGAAAAAAAAGAAAAAAAAAAAAACGACGATAAAACAAACAGTCCACAAAACGCAACATAGATTACTAAACTGAGCAGCATGAACCCCACCAAAAATCAGTGTCGCTCAATTCACTGTAAGGTGCGATAATTTCTGTTTAGAATATCGTCCTTTTATTCCAGGACAAAGACAACAGTTGAACATGAATACCCATTATCTGGATGGTTCTGCTGTTTATGGTTCTAATAAAACTACTGCTGATAGTCTCCGTCAATTTTCCGGTGGTGAGTCATACTTCACTATAACAGAAATAAATAATAAGTTATGTTTCGTGATTACATTTCAAAGATTCTACAAGATTAAGATCAATATGAATATGTTTATTTTCTGCTGAATAGACTTTCTTTCATCAACCACAGATTGTTCAGTTATATCTGCAGACCAAAGTTTTATTTCAGCGGTGATTGATTGGTATTTCGTTAAGATCACCTCACCACGATTGATTGAGACTAAGAATAATCACAACGTTTAATTTTTTTAGCTTTGTACTAGCTTTCAGTAATTGCGGAACTTTTTGTCTTTTGCCGTTGTAAGTCGTTTTGTGCTTAGTGCCGATTTGAAGACTAGTCCTTGTAAGTATAAAAAGAAGATGTGGTATGATTGCCAATGAGACAACTCTCCACAATAGAAACCAATTTTGAACTGAAACGGTCATTTTGATCTAAACAGCTCTTAAAAATAAAGTCAACAGTAGTATATTGGTGTTCAAAAGTCATAAATCGATTGAGAGGAACAACAGGAACAACAGGAACACCGAAGTGCAACAAAAACAAACGCCAACACACATAGAAACGAACTATTTGATAACAACTGCCATATTCGTGACTTGGTACAGGACATTTTAAGAAAATGGTGGGTTGAACCTGGTTTCATGGTATGCCAAACCTCCCGCTTTATGACAATGTTAAAAATATCGCTAAAACACTACGTGACAGAAATACAGCACACACACACACACACACACGCAAGAACATTCATAACAGAGAAACGCACAAACAAATAATATTAAAGTCGACACAACATGCAAACCACAGAACAACAACGAACATATTCCATCAACGAAAAACACCACAGGATATCAAAAACAGTGACGCGCTTACGTAACCAACATGCAATCTCGAACTTTATACAATTATTTTCACAAAATTCGTCCAAACAATTTTAATGACAACGATGGTATGGAAAGGCAATTTTATAATTATTTGGACTACAAACGATAAGACATAACAGATTATCCAACCAAAACCATAACAGAAACATCAAAATAAATCCATTAAAGTCTGATCAATATCATATTAAGTAATGTTCAGTCTTTTAGTTAATAAATAAACTCAACATAGATACCAAGATAAAAATGTGTACGCTAGACGCGCGTTTCGTTTACAACATACTCATCAGTGACGCTCAAATCAAAAAAGAAAAAAAGGCTAAAAAAAGTACGAAGCTGCAGAACATTGAGGACCCAAAATTATGAAAGGTTTTGCCAAATAAAGCTAAGGTATTCTATAATTTTTAGACTAATTTATTGCGGTAAATTCAATACCATTCAGACAATTTGATTGCAGTCAGTAAGGATCTGGTAAGTCTACGTTTAGACTGTATTTGTTATTTTCGTGGAACAAAACACTAACATACTGAATTGTCTGAAAAGCTATCGAACAATACTGGATTGACTGTAAGTGAATTGTATGAACAATACCGAAATTACACTAAGCAAATATATGGAAAAAAATTTAACAAGGCTTAAGTTTAGGTTCAGACTTTTCGGATGGTTATATAATCAAAATGACCGTTAACGACTAAAATTCATTTGCTGGTAAATCACTTTCCAACTGAGTTTATATTTTGTTCTTGTTGTGCTGCTACACCACTGTCACATGCTTGAGCGCTCACAACCACGTTTTACCCCACACCATTCAAAGTATGACTATCCAAAGTCAGAAGCCTGTAATTCAGTGGTTGTTGGTTTTATGTTTTGGCCTAAATCAGGCCGTGAGTTTTTTTCGTTTAAATTGTTTCTAATGTTTTGTTATGTCGGGCGGGATCTTTTATAGCTGACTTTACGCATAGGTTTTGCTCATTGTTGAAGGCCGTACGGTAGTTGTTAGTTACTTAAATCAGCTTCATGTTATCACTACTGGATAGTTGTCTCATTGGCAATCATACCACGTCCCCCGATTTTATATAGCTTTTGAAAATATATAACACTATTAAGTGAGTTTATGGAAAAAGTCATGATTTAATACGCCATACTTGCGTTTCCTCTACAAAAAACTCATCAGTGGCAATCAAATCAACCTAATCAGTTGCGAAGTCGAAAAACCTGAGCCGGTCAAAAGTATAAGCATGATTCCATACAAAATGATTTTAAATCAAAAACAAATTATCATGAATCTGCCAATCAAATGTGTATTGCAAACCTTTGTATGACTGAAGGCACTGAGTACGTAGATTTGTTAGAAGTTGTCCTTGAGCTTGCGTAAGGAATCTAAGATATCTGAATCAGTCACCAATTTTAAACAAATTAGTTTGATCATTTCACAACAGACCAGAAAGTAAACCAAAAACGTTCTCTGGAAAGTCATATGTCTAAAAAAAATGAAATGAAAAGAACACTTTATAAATTGTATGCCTCCGAAGCACTTTTCTGTATTTACCTTTAGCCCAAAGCCGATTATTTGAAAGTCAATGTCTATCATTTACTGAGTAATCAATTCGTTGGCACAATTATGATTTAAAAGAAATACTGGAATAAAATTAACAAAATCTGGAACTTACTTAAAAAAATTACTTTCCTTTTGTTTACATTATATTTTCACCATTCAGGTCGATTGAAATCTACAAATAACCAATTGCTACCTAAGGACATACCAAATGCGTCATCGTGTATCTTACCAGCGAATCCAAATATTAAATGTTTTAAAGCAGGTATGTAACAAAGATTTACATTCTTCAAATTTAGAATCTTTAGATAAATTTGAATACAAATATAATGAAATATAAATGAAATTAACACAATATTACTGCTTATGAGAGAATCACCATTTAACAGATACGATTGAAGACATCTCTATATGAATATTTTACTTATTTTTCTTACAGCGTTGTTCATATAAATGTTCTTTTTTTCCATTTCGTATAATTTTCACATTAAACAATACTTTCAAAGCTATTTCTAAAAAAAAGTAATAAACATCATATTTAAATAACGTCATAAATTCATTTTTGTTGTTACTTAAATTTGAATCGCAATATTGCTTTTGTCATACTAGTAATCAAAGTTAACATTAGTATAGGTCAAAGTGACCTGTATGATAGCATACACAATCAATTCATATTTACCAACCAAGGAATCAAATATTGAAAACTTGGACAGAAAAAATCTGTTGAGTACAAGAAGTTAAAAGGCATCGTATGTGTAGTTTTTGAGTTGTTGCACTAAGACTTACCTAAGTACATTCTTATCTAAATCAATATATGGGGCTCTTTTCACAAAAATTCTAACGATAAAAAATGATCGCAAATTATACTTGCGAGTATTTTTTCTCGTAAGATTGATTTTTTGTGAAATGAGTCGCTGCTCTTCAATAAATCAATTTGGTTATTTGGTAGGAGATCCGAGAGTCAATCAACAACCAGCATTAATGGCATTACAAACAATTTGGATGAAAGAACACAATCGCATAGCCGACAAACTAACACAACTGAATAGATGGAATGATGAAAAAGCGTACCAAGAAGCCAGAAAAATTATTGGTGCCATGATACAACACGTGACATATAATGAATATTTACCACATATCATTTGTGACCAACAAATGATAGATCTAGATTTAAAACCAAAAGCCTCCGGGTATTTTACTGGCTATGATCAAACGACTAAACCCCAGGTTAGGAATGGTTTCTCCGCTACAGCCTTCAGATTTGGACATAGCATGGTCAGGCAGAGATTAGCATATAATGGTCCATTGCATTCTAATCAAAGCCCCCTCCTTCATAATGAATTCCTTAAACCAAATAAGCTGTATGATGCGAAAGGTGGTATAAGTTCTATAACAAGGGGCTTGTATGAAGAATTTTCTCAAAAAGTCGACAGAAAAATTACCAAGGAACTTACAGAAAGGCTTTTTGAGAGAAGAAATGGTTTTGGTGGAGATCTTGCAGCCATTAACATACAAAGAGGAAGAGATCATGGACTGGCTAGTTATAACATTTGGAGGATTGTCTGCGAGTTGACACCCGCCGATGACTTTACAGCTGGTGTGATGGGAGGTTTAGAGCATCATTCGACAGTCGAAGCGCTGGCCCTTAAAAACACTTACAGGTATGTTATTTCATATTTTCTTATCATATTCATATATCAGTGCTTATATGAAAACTTTCAAAAATGAATACATTTATCATAATTTTCATTTAGATATTCCATTATTTGTTTGTTTTGAAACTAAAAATGACAAAATGCTCAATTTAAAAGAAAGACATAGGAGAATCAAGAAGCAGACAGATCTATAGTGCAAGAGAATCGTTCTTTTAGACATAGTATTATTTGTGTGTTATTAACTCCATTATTTTCCTTTTCATTAGATCACCATGGGACATTGACTTATTTACCGGTGGTGTATCAGAAACCCCAATATTAGGAGGGAAAGTCGGACCTATTTTTGCCTGTATAATAGGACTACAATTTCGTGCTTTGAAATTTGGTGATCGATTCTTTTATGAAAGTCATACTAACGTAAAGTTTACTCCAACACAGCTGACAGAAATCAAGAAGGCAACTATGGCTAGAATCATTTGCGAAAATACCAACATCAACAGCATTCCTAGGGACGTTTTCAGGAAGACTTCCTCCAGGTAAGTTAATAGGTTAACATTAAAATAATTTTATTTCATATGGATTTGTATCTTCGTGTAGGTCTTCAGATATCACACATGCCGAATGTGTGGTGTTTTAAGCGTTTTCAGGATTAATTTTCATCGGGGAAGGTTGAATAAAATGAAAGCTTGAGAAAAGTAAATAATAAAAAAAACATAAAAAAAGAACTAATTAATTCATAGAATTTTTAATTCGTCTACTAAATGCACCTTTTGACAATTAATTGTTTGTCCGTGCATTCGAAGGAGTCGAAATGGTAAATGTTAAAATACGTATACGTGCGTCTGATGTCGAATTTAACGTAATACGTTTGTTTTGTTGTGGATTCACTGTTTGGTCGAATTGAATTGAAATTAAAGTTAAAACTGCAGGTCGGAAATTTAGCAACACTGTTTATGTAAAAAGGCAAAATATGAAGAGGGAAAATTGATAGCAAAAGAAAAAGTAACCCTCACACGACTAAGGTGACAAAATCAATAGGATGTTTACGTCGGCAACCACCTTGATTAAAAGTAAATTCACATCACAATTCTACATTTTACCTACAATTATCTGTGAAAGTAAAAGTAGGTTATTTGAGATATTTTTGCAAATTCCCCTCATTTATAAGTTTTGTTTTCATTATTCTCCCCGTCCTCTTTTTCACGAATGTGACCTACCAAATTAGACGTATTGTACTTACATGAGCAACACGACGTGTGCCACATGTGGAGTAGCATCTGCCTACCGTTCCGGAACACCTGAGATAAGCACTAGTTTTATTTAAAAAGGATTTGTGTTGCTGTTCAATTGTTGTTCTTAGTGCTTTATGTTTCTTCAATGTCTGTTTTGATTATACCAATAACACTCTTGTTTATTGTATGTCATGTAAATTCAATTCTATTTTAAAATTTCACATTCGGTTTATTATCATTTTTTTCTCTCAAATTTTACATGACCGATGGTTTACAAATTTGGTGATGTCTTTGGGTTAGATAAGAGTCAATTACCAATCAGCTAATGCGTGATGCCATAATCACTTGATATATCTGATGAACATATTTTATATACGAGTAACAGAACGAGTGTCACATGTGAAGCAGGATATTATAACCCTTCCGGAGCATCTGTGATCACTCTCGGTTTTTGGTGGGGCTCGTATTGCTCAGTCTTAGTTTTCTATGTTGTGTTTTATATACTGCTGTTTGTCCATCGGTCGTTTTTCTTTTCTTTTTTTTTGTCATTGCATTGTCGATTCGTTTTCGACTTGTATGAGTTTAAATATCCCTTTGGTATCTTTTTCTCTTTTAACATCATTTTTATTTACCAGTACGTTTTCTTGCGAACTTATAACGGAAAGCGTCATAAAAAGACCGTGCAAATCATTAAAGAGTATCATTTGTCAAGGGCGATATTTTTTGTCACAAGATTTCCCCAGTAGTACATAACAAAATCTACAGACACCTATGTTTTTTGTATTAATCGCGGCCTTCAGTAGTTTTGTAATATATCTCCCTCTTCTGGCACGTTTGGTTCACTACTTTGAAATTTTTCAAATATTTTTTTCTTAGCAAATACAAATAAAAATTCAAAATTATTAGTTCAGCACTCATAATACAAGGTAAATAAAAACTCCAAATAAGTTATAATGTAATGCAAACAGAATTGGCATTTAATTGTAATTCAGTAGTGATAAAGTAGCATCAATGATAAATCTAGTATTGTTCTTGCAGTAACTCCGAGAAAAGTTGTTCATCTCTACCGGAAGTGAATCTTCAGAAATGGCAGCATTGTATTAATGGTGGATGGTCTAGTTTTGTAACAATAAACAGATGCACAAAAAAGAGAACATGTAACAGACCTGCACCAAACAGCTGTGGGAGACGATGTCTGGGGTCACCAATAGAGTTCACCTGTGGAAGTATTAGAAACTTAAAAAAATTAAGGCCGGGTGGTAATGCAGGTCACCCGTAAAAATATATTGATAATTGATTTAGTGCTGGATAAATAAACATGCTCAGTCATCACGATTCACGGTAAAAGTTACAAACAAATTAAGATCACAAAACTGTACGAAATAAATAGTTTTGGAGACAAGTTGTTTTGATTTACTAGTATTCCTTCTTTGATAGATACCTTTTTGTCCATTTCTTATAAACTTTTACTCTATAACAAAGCTTGTTCGCCTTAATTTATCAATGTAATGGATTAGCAATTTCACTACTTTATTCTGCTATAAAATTGAGAATGGAAATGGGGAATGTGTCAAAGAGACAACAACCCGACCATAGAGCAGACAACAGCCAAAGGCCACCAATGGGTCTTCAATGCAGCGAGAAACTCCCGCACCCGGAGGCGTCCTTCAGCTGGCCCCTAAACAAATATGTATACTAGTTCAGTGATAATGGACGTCTTACTAAACTCCAAATTATACACAAGAAACTAAAATTAAAAATGATACAAGACTAACAAAGGCCAGATGCTCCTGACTTGGGACAGGCGCAAAAATGCGGCGGGGTTATACATGTAATTGAAAGTACTCGTTGTTGTCCTGCTTATTTCTTAACAATACCATTACTTTTTTATTATGAATATTTTCTTTTATGATTTGTATTAATTTTGTAATTCTAATAGTGAAAAGAGTTTAATTTATTGATAACTAAATCAATATTTATACCGATTAAAACAATATTCAAAGATCTTATTACAGCGTTGAATTTGTAAACTTTTAGAATAAGTTTATTCAAAGGATCGATAACATTACCCGGTTTGTAGCTAACTAAACGAATAATTTGTATTCGTCTTTGTATTGTACTTTATACTAATAAAGGAATGGTAGGGGTACAATGCATTGATTTCTATACTTTTTATACGACCGCAAAAAAATTTTGCGGTCGTATATTGGTATGACGTTGGCGTCGTCGTCGTCGTCGTCGTCGAAGACACATTGATTTTCGCACAATAACTTTAGTTCAAGTGAATGGATCTCTATGAAATTTTACCATAAGGTTCAATACCACAAAAAGAAGGATGGGATTGATTTTGGGGGTTATGGTACCAACAGTTAGGGATAAGGGGCCAAAAAAGGGCCCAAATAAGCATTTTTCTAGTTTCCAGACAATAACTTGTGGAACGGTGTATGAATCTCTCTGAAATTATACCATAAGGTTCAATACCACAAAAAGAAGGTTGGGATTGATTTTTGGGGTTATGGTACCAACAGTTAAGGAATTAGGGGCCAAGTGAACTTTTCTCATCACTTGGCGTCCGTCGTTCATCGTCATCGTCGTCGTCGTCGTTAACTTTTACATAAATTGTCTCCTCTGAAACTACTGGGCCAAAGGACAAGGGGCGATAAGGGCTTTTTTTGGCCCCACCTCCAAATTTCATTTAATTTGTCATGCTGTAATTCTATACCACAGACCTTCTGCAAATGGTGGCATTTTGGGTCTATCTCAATTATTCTATTGCCTAGCAACCAGTATAATGGTGGAGATAAACTCATTGCATACGTTAAATATACAGCTTAAATATATTTATCTTTCGAATCAAACCTGTTTAACATGCATTGAATTATACATTTATACGCTGTTTAAGTGTATCACAATATAATCTTTTAATTATACCGGGTATTGATGATAATAACAGATTTTGTCTCCAGTGCTGGGTGGAGTCCTTTTAAGTTTTTAATGCCCCGCCGTAGGGTCTCACTAATTAGCGACAAGATTAATGATATATTAATTATTTAAGATAAATAAATATAGAAACATGCATTAAGGGTGTTTTTTTAAATAAGTATATTTTCATTACAGTACTTGTGTAGAGCCGACAGGGTTTTTGTCTCGTCTTGACGGAGTCAAAAAGCGAGACTTAGTTATGCTGTTTACGAGGGCATTGGCGGCATCAACAATGTATTAGTTTGTGATAGGGTCAGTTTATGGGGAACCAATAGTGATAGGCCAGTGATATTTGTTATGCAGTTGTATTAGCATTGGCATATCTCATTTCCATGGAGATTATTTGGTCCTGCCGACTCCGTCCTGGTCTATTGACTTTGAAACTGTTGCTTTCTTACCATGAATCAGTTTGTGATTAGGTCAGTTAAAGGGGAACCACTAGTGGTAGGTCAATGATATTTGGTATGCAGTTGTATTAACATTGGCACATCTCATTTCCATCAGTCATGATTTATTGACTTTGAATGTTTTGCATAGTTTACATGTTAAAGTTTGTGATTAGATCAGAAGGAACCACTAATGTTAAGTTAATAGTATTAGCATTTGCAAGTCTTCTTTTCCATGGAGATTATTTGGCCCATTCCCTATCATGGTTCATTGACTTTTGAACTTTTACATTGTTTACAAGTTAAAGTTTGCGTTTAGGTTAGTGTTAAGGGAACCACTTATGATGAGTCAATGTTATTTGGTATGCAGTTTTACAAACATTTGCATTTCTCATTTCCATGGGTTTTTTTTGGTCCTGCATCTAAAGTCGTGGTTCATTTGCTTTGAATGTTTGCATAGTTTATATGTTTAAATATTGCCATTTGGATTCAATATTTGCATTATATTATAAAAATTACAAGACATATCTCTGTGTCAACAGTTTATTTGTGTTGAGTACTGTTTTTTCTTTAATTTTGTATCTGTCGAATCCGTTGATCATTCATGCCACATGATGATACATATACTGTTTATAGCTCAAATAGTTGTTATGAAACAGAAATTTAAAATTGTGGATGACGAAAGCATTCATGATACTATAAGTTAAGTATGACCTACTATCTTGCAACTTGGCTAATATAGATTAACATATAAAGAAATACTGAACCGTTCTCCATGTATCCTTAAACAGATATCAGATATGTGATAATTTCAAACTTTACACATTTAGTTTTAAACATGTTTTTGTGTTTAGTCTCTTCGTTAGGAACTAAAGCAAATTCAGATCTCACATCATTAACCAAAACTAATGAAAATGATGATTCCAAGTGTCCAATCAAAGGGGCGAGTGTAAAGGCATGTGCCCCTTCCTGTTTTTATCGCCAAAAAAAAATAAATCTCATATTTCTCACCAATTATGTAAATTAATAAAAACTTCTAAATTTTTTTTCGTTATATTTTTTGTTTTCTGGAATTACACCCCCCCCCCCTTTTCACTCTTTCATAAATCCTGGACCCGATCCTAATATCAGAGAAGATTGTCCCATTTCGAACACAAATTTGGAATTGAGATTAGCAGAAACATAAGAAATTATCAGATTTTATTATATTGTATGTCTATCTAAAATTTCATATTAATAAAAAAAACATTCTTGAAAATATCGTTGACTACCTTACAATATGTAGTTCATTGCTTTTGGGTTTTGTTTTATAGGTTAATCTAGGTATACTTACGAAAATAATAATAGAAATACATGTTACTGATTCATAAGCGAAAAAGTAAAATTCATATAGGCATAAGAATGTATAAATTAAACTTTGTAAGAAGAATAAGTCTCATTTTAAAGGCAAATTTCAGCTTTTTATTGCTCTGTTTGGCTATGAAAAATTATGAAATAAACTATCGCACCAACCTTGCACCAAAAAGATTTTTTATCTCGAGTTTCATATGTATGAACTTGTCAAAATGTTAAAATTTCACATTGGTGCAAGCATGGTGCGGTTGTCAAAATGTAGGAAAACCATCCCAATTTCTGTATTTTTGCTTATTTTCCCGATTATGACGTCATTTGCATCTACCATTGTGACGTCATTTATTTAAGGTACTCATCATCTACGCTAAAACTTAGCTTATGGAAAATAAGGTAAAACTTCTGGAAATAATGTCATATTCTTTCCAAGATAGCTGCGGCATATTCGTAAAATTTAAATGACTTTGCTCTTTCATTCCGTTTTTAACCATTCAAAATGAACATACGATACTCTAACAATTGCTTAGTGTTCAGCGTTGGCAGAGGCTGATCTTGAATTTTCCAAAAAAGGGATGCGGCAGCCGAAATAGTTTACTGAAAATTTTGCAAAGGAACTGTGAAAAGTTTTTACGGAACAGAAAACATGAACTTTAAAAAAGTGAGGCTGTATAGCGCAGGAATGTTTCTTACATTTATAACATTCAAGTCTTGGTATATGACAAATTTTTGGGTGAATCTAATATTGGAGTAGTACACTCTTTCTTTTTAAGTATTTGCCAAGTTTAATAAAAAAAAGTTGATAGAGGCTTGATTCAAATATGTTAGGATATTAAGTAGACCCTTTGCATGTTTCACGGCATGTCGTTTGAAAATCTATGAAATATATCTAAAACACAAAAATGGTAGCCGTTTTAAAGGGGTGTGTTTTTATTTTGTTTAATTGAGGAGAGTACAAGTAGGACGTGAACCATGGTAAGTTAGCATCATAGGAAAAACCCCCAAAAAACATCAACTCTGCAAGAACATACTTTATTTGAATTTAGAGGGAATAGAAAAAATGACAGCTTTGAAGAGTGTCAATTTAAAATTAAAGTTCCATATATACAAAGATTTAAGGCTGTTGTTGGTTATTCATCTTCATCTTCATTTTTTCAAATCTATCGGAAAACATCTTCTTTTCACCATTTTCACCGTTACGTTTACGGTCGTGTGGATTTCTCCCTGGACGACGAACTTTTCCCTTGGCTTGATTTTTTTGTGAAGCATTTTTGTCACCATCTGACTGATCGAGGGATCCAGGTTTTTTCCTGTCTTTCCTGTCCTTTCTTGGAGGCTTATTTTCTTCATTTGACTTATTGGGTGATCCAAGTTCCTTATTGCTCTGCTCATCGTTTGTCAGAGGCCTTTTTGCGTCCCCTGACTGACTGGGTGATTCAGGTTCTTCCTGGCTGTGTTCATCATTTGGCGGAGGCCTTTTTGCTTCCCCTGACTGTCTGGGTGATTCATGTGCTTTCCTTCTTTGTTGATCGTCGATTTGAGGTCTTTTATCTTCCCCGGACTGACTGGGTGATCCAGGTAATTTCTGGCTATAGGAAACATTAATTACACAGCACGCCAAAATAAGTA